GACGGTGGCCGGCGGACGGTGGCCGGAGAGAGAAGAGAGGAGGGAGGAAAATTTTAAAATACCAAAAATATTTTTGCATTAATATTTTAATTCAAAATTGCCAAAATTATAAATTTCCTAATTTATCTATTGATTTGTGGTTAGTATTGGTTCTCACAGTTACCACAAACTAATTAGTTCTCATTTGATTAGGCCCCTATATATGTGTGTGTGTGTGTGTGTATGGATGTATGTATGTATTAATTATAAGTATGGTATGGATGCAAATTAATACGGATGCCAAGAGAATCACATCCATCCCTCAAAATATCGTATATACGAAAATTTCATCCAAACATATAAATAGACAACACCTATAACTCACAATCTTATTATTATGAATTTCAGTTATATTATTTGTTCAATTCTTTTTAAATATCGTATAACGTATAAATACATCTAACATCATTTTCTAAATCAAACAACATACCCATATCAGATGCAATTGCAAACAAATACAAATATAAATACGAAACAACAAAACGTGATGTCGTGTTTATAAACATTTTGACAGAAAAGAATATTAATTAATGAAATTAAACTTCTTTTTGATTAGAATATTTAGCTTATAAGAATTAATATCGGTTTGATACTAATAATGGAAGTCTTTCAACACTTAATTTTTCTCAGGTTCAAATCCAATGAGAAATAAAAAAAATCCCCTTGTGGCCATGGAGGTTCAAATGCGGTGACTCCCGGCTATTTGCAAAGCAGGTGGTCGCCCTGGGGGATTAGTCAGTTCGCATAACAGGTTGGATATCAAGGTTAATCAATATATATATATATATATATATATATAGGGTGAGACCAAAGATTTTTCGTGAGACCTGTAAGACCAATTTACGTTCATTGATCAATTTTATAAGCTAATGATCTAATAGTTAAAAGTTGTACGGTGACAATTTTGTGATTATTGAGAAGTCTCGTAACGTTTGTGAATGTTCAGATCTGACGATTGTAGATCTAATCCTAGGGTTGAGAATTGGTCTTACGGGCCTCACGAAAAACCATTGGTCTCACATGATCCCAAGTATATATATATATATATATATATATATATATATATATATAATTAGATGAATGATTTATAATCCCTTGACATCGAATGTATTTTTGTTTTAAAGATTTTAAAGTTTCGTCCTCATTTTGGATTTTTTTAAAATATTTGTTAGTGATGTTTTAAGGAATTGGAGTTCTCCAAATTTGTAAGATCCCATGTTGGTTGTGGAGGGTCACGAAGGTTGCCTTATAAGAGATTTGATATTTATTCCAGATTTGTGAACAAAACGAACAATATTTAACACAGTTGGCCGAATATTTCCAGTTTTGAAGATAAGTTTGAAATTTTATTCTAAATTTATAGATCACTATAAAAGGTTTATTCCAATTTCCAACGACATATGATCATAAACAAAGTGATGGATGAATGTGGTTCATCAGCCTGAAGAGGAATGCGAGGTAGGATTTTGAAAATAGATAGTAAATTGCAATTATATTTATTGGCAGCTTCCATGTTCCGATTCATCCCACTACATACAGATTGGAAATTAATTCACAATTTTCATTATACAAGGGATTAGGGGAAAACCAGAATGGAGAAGACAGTGACCAATCTTCAAAATCAAACTAGAAATGGTGCTGGAGAGAAAGCTGGAAGAGCCATCGGATGACTCGATTCCCTGCAATTTACTCTAAAATAAGTAAGCATGATGAACTATGAACGAACTACGTTCAAAAAAAGCAAATTAGAAAAAAAAAACAATAAGATGAGTTTCTGCTTTAAGAACGAACATGAAGGAGAGTAAATCCTTCGGAACTTGTGTTGATTCCGTATGAACATCGCAATTTCAGAATCGGAATCATTTTTCAAACTCTGTTATCGGTTATTTGATAATCAAAGCACATAAATGTTAACAGAAGGAGAAATTTACCTGTAATCAGAACCATAAGAACCAGATCGAGTTTTTCCGGCCAATTTGCTTTTAATCAACGGTTTCTTCTCAGATCTGAAGGAAGCCGTTGATTCAGCCCTCTTCCTACGCACCTCCCGAGCTACACCGTCTTCTGCGATCGCTGCCAGCGCCGGTCTCCAGTGTTTTGTCGAGTTACCTTGCGTCATACGCCTCCGATGACTAGGAACCTCGGCGGCGATGGTCTCAACCGCCGGTGTACCACCGAAACAATAACTGATCTCCGGGAAGGAAAACTTCATACATACAATACACTCCCTCCGCTAATCCTTGCAACCCGTAAGCTGCAACAGATAGTGAGTTTGACGTGAAAAAAGAGATTGGTAGAACACGAGGTTTCCGTGAGCTTCTCTTCAATGGCGGACCTGAAACAAATTGCTTCTGTTTATATACTTGTTATAACTTACTTCTTCCAGAGCTATAATTACTAGATAGTGTCTAATCATGCTCTGTATACTTGTACCTCAAACATAACATTTTGTACATATTATAAGAGCTCAAAAAACCTTGTTTGAGAAACTAAACTTTACTTTTGAGTAAACTACAGTTTTGGTCCCTATGGTTTACATGAATCTCTGAAAGTGATCCTTAGACTTCAATAACTACAATTATCATCCCTATTGTTTATATTTTGTATTGAAAATCGTCCCTAGTCACTAACTTTGTTAAATTAGTCCGTTAAGTAAGGAGGCATCTTGGTCTTTTTATCTGTTTCTTTATTTATTGTTGTTATATTATTAATTTATATATTATTTTTTATTATATACATTTATTGTAGACAAAATATATATATCCACACCATAACAATTTCAAACCTAACTTACTCCAGTCACCGTCTTTGACGACTTGACCTGCTTCGATCACTATCTCTTATGGCTGGAAACTCAAATGTTTTTCGGTCATCTTTTGCGACCTAAATCAGCACCCAACCAAAATCAAACCTGAAACCAAATCTAAAACCATGTCCAACATAAATCAAATCTAAAATGAAATCCGAACCCAAATACGAAACCAATCACAATCCTTTTCCTAGCATAGAAGTAACAACGATAGAATCGCCTTGGCCTGAAAATGTGATTGAGAAATGGAAAACCCAACCTAAATCACCATTGGCTCCATTGTGTGAAGCTACAAAAATCCACCATCTTTTGTAACAAACCTTCTGCTACCTCAAAATCCAACGGAGTCAGAAATTAGGGGTTGTGTTTTGAATCGATTGACTATGCTTTGAATCAATGGCTTCAAAGATTTACCATCTCCCTAACATAGTCCTAACAAAAATGGTGAAAATCAATTCCATCATCGATAAAGACTTCACAAACCAGTAAATTCGGTTCCAAAATGAAATCTAAAACAAAAATCAGAGACACACTGTTAGAAATCGATTCCCAAACTCAGAATTGAAGGAACCTCTTCGTCAGAAATGGAGGTTGCATCTCAAGGGGGATGATTTTAAACTCTTCACTGGAGTTCCTTATTTAGTTTCGTCTATGTCATAGCAGGAAATAATCATCCATGTGATAGCATTTTCGTCTCTGTGATAGTTTCTCACCTCCACCTTTTATTACATTTTAGGGTTGATCGATATTGGACGAAGTCATAGCAACGAAAATCAACAGGTAGCCGAAGGAATTAGGATGAAGATGGTGGTTGGAGGAGTTAGGATGAAGATGGTTACCGTCACCGCGGGAGGGGGTGTTCTCAACCACCCTACCATGATCTCCACCTGCAAAAAATATATATATATATATATATATATATATATATATATATATATATATATATATAGGTTGGTTATTATACAACCCTTGTCATTTGT